GCCTTCGGCCGCGCTTAGGTTTTGTAACCCTCACTACGCAGAATTCTACTTTCTATGTTGCCAAAAAAAGGGGCTGAACACCTTTTGCAGTGAACACCTTTCTGCGTAGGCGGCCTTCGGTCGCACTTAGGGATTATATCTACGGTGACCATATTTATGGCGATCAAATACGGGACAAGAAAAAAGTCATTTTTTTTATTTATCTTTGCTTTTATTTCCATAACGGAATGCAACAAATCAAAAATTATGTGTATTTGTTTGAAAATAAATACGTACATATGTATATAGGTATATATAGAAAATCAAAGAAAAAGATTAAATTCAGTCCACATTTACATAACTACTTAAAATAAAAATTAAATTCTTATTGGTACTTTTGTGCGGCGCATATTTGTTTTACAATATTATCACGTTCATTTAAATATTGCTTAAGTTCTAAACAGTTCATGTTGTAATTACATTTGGTAATTAGGAGTGCTTTAAGTGTTTCCACCTTCAGTTGGGACTTTTCGCTAGTCCAAAAATTATTCATCAACGAGAAAATTCTTTCTGTGGGTGCGTTTGACCCTGGCAAACATAAGCTGAATTCGACTAATTTAATGATATCTTTTGAAGAGATGTCCTTCTTGGAAAAATGTTCGAAAATTTCCACCCATTTTTCGCTTAATGTTTTCCCATTATTTAACCAATCTCTAATTTTTTGTTCATCTAAAAACTGTTTAATGTAATTAAACTCATCGAACAATTCCGAATCATCAATGATTAAAGAGCCTCTTTTCGCCATAATTAAAACTAAGCTTTTTTCTATATCGGACCACGAAGGCACTTCTTTTAGTACAATCCAACTTAAGTTTTCTACTTCTTGAAAAGATGAGTCCCACTGATTCAAGTATTCAAAGCACGTGTTATAGAACGCGGTAACATTTTCTTTAAATTTGCTTTGATTGATAAGGTTTTGTTCATCCAGTTCAGTTAACAACTTTTTAACGTCCAAAGGCAAAAATAGTTCATCTCTTCGTTGAATCATTTCGAATTTAAGATTTTTTAATATTAAAGCTACTTCTGGAATGCTTACATCTTGCGATTCTACTTGAGATATTTTCGAATAAAATTTTGCAGCCTGGCTATGAATAAATAAAAGCCATATTAGTGAACATGGATTTTTAAAAAAGTCATATAAAATAGTAGGAACTTTCTTCTGTGAAAGAAAATATTCTTTTAAAGGTATATAAAGCTTTATAATTCTTTCGACAGCAGGCTTGAGCGTCAGCCACCTCGTTTTGCTAAAACCTAAAAGTTTACGATACTCCGTTTCCGAGTTTTCGCAAATATCTTTAAGTTTTTCTACACGAACAGTGTATATATAAAAAAAAGAATAAATTTTCACCACAACAACTTCCATATCTAAAGGTAAACACTCTACCGCTGTTTGGATACAGTTATTGAGAATGTGAGCTGCACAATTCACACCGATTAAATTGTTTCCCGTAGATTTCTGCAATTTTGCAAAAACATTGTTAATTCCCCCCCTACCAGAGCCCCCAAAATTGCAGTTGGTGTTGTCAGCGCAAAGAGCAAGTAACTTGTTACGTATTGCAAAATTATCCAGCGTGTTATTTATGTATTCTGAAATAATGGCAGATGTTTCTCCTGGAAGCTCCTTACATTCTATTATTTTTATTACAATTCCGATTTGAGGGCTAAAGTATCTGACCAATATTGGGCAAACTTTTGTGCTCCCATGATTGGAGCAATCACTGTAAATGGTAACAAAATTAATTGCCTCCAAGTTCCGTTTAGTGTCCGCAATGGAGATTGGTGACAAAACGTTGCATACAATTGCTTCACTTTTCGTACGAGCACATGAAAACTTCTCATCAAAACAGTTTTTTATGAGTTTGAAAAATTATGTTGAACTGTGTGGAAGGCCCAAGTCCCTTCGTTGACTGCATTCTGTTTTGTAGCCCCATCAAAGTTTTTTCTACAAAAATATTTGTTAAATTTTTTGGTTGATGCAGCGGCAGCATGGGCATCTTTATGTTTTCGCGTTTTTAGATGTTGAGAAATATCAGACCGCCCCCCGTTTGCAATTGAAAACACTGCTTTGCACTTTTCACAACGAACTTCACTAGCTAGTCCAGTTTCTTTAATGAATTTGAACTCTTTTTGAACCTCATCGTTGAAAATACACCTACGTTTTGGAGGCATGGTGGCATAGTTCTAAAAATTAATTTCGTTTCCTTATATAAATAAATCAAAATTTATTTTTACATCGATTTTATACTTACAAAGCGATGATAAGTAAATGTCTTGTGTTTATCAACATCACTTTCAATTACACGGATAATTTGATCCGAGACTCTTTTTCTCGTGAGAGTGCTGTCAAAACATCATTTTTTATAACATCTTCTAATAATGCCACTGCTACGAAAAACATGCTTGGTATTTACTAAGAAATTTTAGGTGATTTTTTTTTGAGTAAGTAAATCGCTCGAAAACCAATAAATATGAATAAATATCTGCTTTGCCTTTTTCTTCTTCTTCTTATTTGGCGCTGTAACCGCCTAAGCGATTTT